GCGCTCGGCCTTTCCGCGCCCTTCCGGCGGCGAGCCCTGGGCTCCAGCTCACCTGCGCCCAAGGCTTGGCGGGGTGGGTGAGCCGGATCAGTCTTGTGGGGTTCTGACGTTTAGGGGCTTAGGAGAAGCCCAAGGTCACAAATGTAGGCGCACCCCACCCCACACTCGCCAGAGCTGTGGATTCCTTCGCTCCATTCCTGAGCCCAAGTAACTGTCACCCCTGCCAATCGCTAGAAGCCACCAGAGCACAGGAGGACCCACTGTTCTGCATTCCTGTTCAAAGGGACCCTTCTGTCATACTCCAGGTTTCCAACTGATTAACTGGTCGCTTCAGAAACTGACACCCCTGTACTAAGTCCTGTTTCCCCCTCACTTCTCTTTGCCCCCTTAGGTCTTTCTAGGCCCCTCCAATTGTCTTACGAGTAAGACTTATTCCAATTGCTCTAAATGACTTTCAGATCTGAGTGCAGGTGACCTCCCAGTCCCTCCCCTGAAGGCCTAAAGTGGATGTGAGCTCCTGGTTGGTGCCAAGGTGTCCCCAGTGTGGCCCCCTGCCAGGTCCTTTCCCCACTATCAGTCCCAAAGGGCCCAGCCACACTGGGGGCTGAGCACATCTCCTCTGCACCCTCAGATGCAGGTGGGACATGGGAGGGCATGGAGCCTGTCCCAGACGAACCTCAGAAGGGACTAAGCCGACCCTGGGAAGTCTCAGCCTCCTCCCAGTCTGTGCACTGCCATGGACACATCCAGGGTGCCCCTAAGACTGGTGATCATGGGGTGCTGAAGGACCCCTGGCCAGGCTCTAGAGGGAGAGCCTGGGCTACGCAGCTCCTTCCAGGCCCTGGAGTTGGAGGGAACCCTCATGGGGAGGGGCATGCAGGGGCTCAGCCCCCAGTGGCAGTCCCTTCCCCCCAGCGTGGCCACGCCCAGGCTGGGCAGAAGCACCAGCCTCTCCCTCACCCTCGTGCTGATGGGTGGGTAAGGAGGCAGAGCTCTGCTGCACCAGCGGGCTTACCCCAGAATGAGCCCTGCCTGACCCATAGTCACCTTTCGAGGCCGAGGCCTTCGGACGCAGAACTGTTTGGATAAGATGCTCAGAGCCATGGTGGGACCTGCTCCGTGGGGCCAGTAGCCTCTGCCCTTCAGGCAGGGGTGAGGAGGGTGGAGGAGACCAGTGGGTCTGCTTTGAAGTCTCTGCACAAAGCTGGGTGTGGCCACCAGAGCCTGGTGAGTTGCTGGTTGCCTGGGCGGGTCCTTGGGGAATCCAGGAGAAAACAAGCTCTGTTCCTGGGGCAGAGGTCTCAGGGGCCTACACAGGGAAAGCTGTGAATCCATGCGGGCTATAAGGGCCACATTTTGTGAAAGGACACTCCTGAGGGCAGAGGTCAAAGGGCACTTGTGGAGCCTGGGAAGGGCCCTGAGGATGACAGCAGGGTGGGGGCTGGGGAACGGAGTCAGGACCAGGTTTGAACTCTTCACTGGGTTGAGTCTGACAGCAACCAGACAGGCGCACGGGAAAGGAGGAGCATGTCACCTGCCAGGCTCAGTGACAGGTGTCAGGTGTCCTTCAGGGTCCACAGCTGCTGCTGGGCTCTCCCCAGAAGCCCCATTCCTGCTTGCCTGGTTTTGGAGCGGCAGTGAGGTGGCTAGAGGAAGGTCCGAATCCTGCTGCTGCCGACGGCGGAAAGCAGCTCCATCACTGGGCAGTGAGTTGCTCCTTCCGGGCCTCAGCTTCCTCACCTGTCAAATGGACACAGCATGTGCATGATGGAGGCCCGTGCAGAAAAGGAGAGCAAAAGCCCTCAGAGGTGGGCAGAGCAGGGGGCTGACGGTGCCGGCCTTGGGCATACTGGCACTGCCTTGGAGCCGTTGGGCCTCAGGCAGGTTTGTGCAACTCTCTGTGCCTCACTTTCTGCCTCTGTAAATGCTGAGGAGAGGAATCCCCACGGGCCAGGTCTCTGAGTGCCCAGCAGTGCCAGGAGACTTCTAAGGCGCTCGCCCTGGGTAAGCACCCTGGGAGGGGATGGTCGGACCGCCCCGCCCATGGTGCTGAACTGACTCTAGTTCATGCCGTTGCGTTTGTGATCAGCAAGATTTTATAATGCTTTTGCAAACATGGAGGCTTTTACTCCGAGCGAGCAGAGAACAATTTAAAATCAGTACTGTTTCAAGCCAAGTCTCTGAACAGTGGCCCTCAGCCGGGGCGGCTTTGCCTCCTGACTCCAGGTGGCATTCGGCCATGTCGGCAGGCAGTGTTGGCTGGGTGCTGCAGGCATCGAGGGGGCAGGGGCCAGGGACTCTGTGATGCACAAAGCCCCCAGGGCAGAGCCATCGGCTCCAGGTGCTGGTGGTGTGAGTGGAGCACCGTCCAGGAAGCCCTTGCACTTGGCCCGGCTTCTTCATTCGGTGGGGGTTATAGGAGCCCCCGAGACCTCCTGCTGAGAGGGCCCCATCCTGCCTGGGTTCTGTGTATCTCACCAGGGTGAAAGGAGCCACGTGGGCACTTCCCAGCAGACACTCCGGACACCCCGAGAGGTGGTTCAGCCACAGACAGCTCCATTCTGCAGATGGGAAGCCAGGGCCCAGCCAGGGAGGCCATCCAGCCCTGGCAGGGAGTCGGAGTGTCTGCTCTGAACCACTTAGTGAAGAAGACCCACAGGCTCATAGGACCAGGTGAGCCCCTGCCCCTTCCTTTGCACTGGCTCCGTCCCCAAGAGGGAAAGTGCCTGGGTCCGTTTCAGGGAAGGTGCCTGTAGAGAGCCTTCCTTGGGGTTCTGTCCCCTGCAGGGGCCAGCAGGGCCCGGGTGTGGCCCACTAGACCTGAGCCACTTGGGGGGGTTCCCTCCTTGGCTTGCTGGTGCTTTCCAGGCCATCGGAGGCGGCAATGGCATCTCCCAGCCACACATCTCTAGATGAGGAAACGGAGGCCTAAATCGTGGGGGTGCCGCTGGACAAGGCAGGTCCTGGATTCCTATTGGGACACTGGTCTTGTCACTGGGCACTAGTGGGATGTCCAGAGGTGAGGCTAAGCTCAGCAGTCCTCCCTGAGGGCACATTCGTCCTCCAGTCTGGGCTTCAGAGGGTCCCTGCTCTGGGACTCTTCCCTCGGAGTCTCATTTCCTTACCTGGGCAGAGGGGCAATGTCCCCACAGGTGCGGGGCCTAGGGAAATCTGGAGCTCACAGTGACATGGGAACAATGAGCGCTGACGGACCTCCAGGTACCTGGCACCACGTCCTCCCGCTTACATGTGTGACCCGCTTCATCCTGCCCTGCAGCTCTGGGCCAAGGAGCCAGGCAGTGGCCGAGGCAGGCCCGGAAGGCGGCTCCGCTCCGCCCTCTGCTGTGGCTAGGCAGCAGGCCCCTCCAGCTCACCAGGGCCGCCTTTGGCCACAGGCCCTGGGGGGAGCCCAGCCCCTTCCTCCCCTGGACCCCATAGTGGCAGGGGAGGGACATGCTGGGAGGAGCAAGGAGGCCTGTGTCCTCAAATGTGTTCCACGTCCTCTCCCAAGGCAGACCCTCTGGTGGCGTCCCCTGGGCCGAGTCACATACCAGGTGTGAGGTGAGGGGGACGGTGGCCCCTGGCAGTCCCCTGGGAAACCTGGGGGATTGGCACAGACTCTCCCCCTCCCTGCCTGACGCTGCCCAGGGCCAGACAGGCCTGCAGCCTGGGTGGTTCCCCTGCTCTCCACCGCACACCCCCTGTCTTCCAGGAAGGCCCACCTAAAGCCCTGGTTCAGGCAGCGTCTGATGTGTTTCCCAATGCCCTGGGCCTCAGCTCTGACCCCCACCTGAGAAGGCGAGCAGGGTCTATTTACAGGGACTCACTGGGAGGCTTCGAGGCCCCGCGGGATCCGTCTTGCTGCCGAGGTGCATTGGCTATGCTGGAAATGCCCGCACAACTGCAGGCCCTGTCCTTGGAGGTGATGACCACGGACCGAGGCCTCTGCCTGCAGCCCTGCTTTGAAGAAATGCCTAGAGGTCCCCTTCCCAAGTGTCTGCCAGCAGCCACCCCGGGCAGGACTGGCTCCTCTGGGGAGCCATTGGTAGCAGGCTCTAGTTCCGGCAGGTGCTGGGCCCCCAGGAGTTGTGCTGGCCTGGCCACTGCCCTTTAGTGGTCTCTTCTGGGGCGGGGTGGCATTCCGCTTGAAAGCCGAGTTCCGGAAGTTGAGTGGCCCACCGTCAGGCTGAGTCTGTCGCAGTGGCGGGGAGTGTGCTGGAGGAGCGCCCGGTGGGTCGGGGTGTACAGGGGCTGGAGGCTGGTGCCCCAGGGTCGGGAGCTTCGGCAGCCCTCTGAGAAGCGAGATGGCATCCTCCCTCTGGAGGAGCGGACACAGCTGTGGCACCCCATGGGCTTGGTGACAGCCAGGCAGGGCTGCAGGCCTGGGGAGGAGGAAGCAGACCAGGGACACCCAGCCAGGGACATCTCGGTGGGAGGTGGCATCCTGTCCGAGGCTGTCCACTTGGGATGCTCCTGGCCTCTTCTCCCTTCTCCTCCCCCGACTTGCAGTCGAGTTTCCTCGAGGCTGTCATGTGTGACATCTCAGTAGATTGAACACAGAAGCGGGTGAGCCACCCCAGCTGGCTCTATAAAGCCAAGAATGTCAGCCAGTGTCACTCTTTTTGAGGAATACTTTTGTTTTGGAAAACACATTTTGTTTTTGTAAGTAATGTATCATTTATATTAACAACACAATGGGTTTATCCTTTTTAAGTAAATATTTTTAAAACTTGAAGTGAATATTGATAGATGTAACCTATAGAAACAAATGTTCTTTGTGGACGTCAGTGATTTTTTTTAAGCGTATAAAGATGAGTTTGGTAGGCACATCTGCAACCCCAGCTTCTCAGGAGGCTGAGGCAAGGTGTTTGCAAGTTAGAGGCCAGTCTGGGCAACTTAGTGAGGTGCTACCTCAAGGTGAAATTTAAAAAGGGCTGGGGAGGTAGTTCTGTGGTACAAAGCTTGCACAAAGCCCTGGGTCCAATCTCTAGCACCACACACAGAGAAATAAGTAAGTCAACAAGTAAACAAATAAAGGAACATGAGACCAATGGGTTGAAAACCCCACGTGTAAAGAATGCTGAAGGCAGAGTAAAAAGACTCCAAAATATTGTGCTTGGGCTTTGGGGTCAGAACATGTGTGAATGTAGGCGTTGTCATCCTCAACTCTTCCTCTACGACCATCATCACCATCACGATCACCATCACCACCATCATCATCACCAACATTACCACCATCACCTCACCATCACCACCATCACTATCACCACCATCACCATCACCACCACCACCATCACCACCATCACCATCACCATCACTACCATCACCACCACAACCTCACCATCTCCATCACCATCACCATCTCCACCACCATCACCATCACCACCTCACCATCTCCATCACCATCACCATCATCACCACCACCACCATCATTATAACCATCATCACCCACCATCATCACTGTCACCAAAATCATTATATCACCATCACCATCACCATCACAATCATCATCACCACAACCACCACCATCACCACTA